CAGGTGCACTCCTAACTCTCGTGGAACGCCTCAGAGGTACAGATTCGTCAATTGGCTCAACAGGAGTTTCCTCCTCAAGTTGAGGGCTAGAGTTTGAAGTTCCTTCACCACTTGACTCTTGAATTTCTTCAAGATCAATTTGCCTCCCACTGTCTCCTTGGCTTATAAACTCTCTTTCTCGAAAGACTCCTCTTCTTGCTACAAAGACCACATTGTCACTAGGTCTGTAGAAGAGGTAACCAAAGGATTGCTGTGGGTAGCCGATGAAAATACACCTCTCGCTTCGAGGTTCGAGCTTATCATGAGTCTCGCGTCTCACGAAAGCCTCGCAACCCCAAATCTTGATGTGGTCTAGTTTAGGTACTTTACCAGTCCACATCTCGTGAGGAGTTTTGGCAACTTTCTTTGTAGGGACTAGATTAAGGATATGGGCGGCAGTCTCTAAGGCATACCCCCAGAATGAGATTGGTAGCGAAGCTCGACTCATCATGGAACGAACCATGTCCAACAAGGTTCGATTACGCCTCTCAGCCACACCATTCAACTGCGGTGTCCTGGGAGGTGTCAATTGTGAGACAATCCCACATTCCCTTAGATAGTCGAGGAACTCTGAACTAAGATACTCACCACCTCGATCGGATCGAAGCATCTTAATGTTCCTGCCCAATTGATTCTCGACTTCCTGTTTAAATTCCTTAAACTTCTCGAAAGTCTCTGACTTATGCTTGATTAAGTAGACATATCCATATCTACTGTAATCATCAGTAAAAGTCAAATAATAACGATTAGCATCCCTTGTGGCATGTTTGAATGGTCCACACACATCCGTGTGTATAAGGTCCAACAAACCTTCACCTCTTTCACACGAGCCTGTGAAGGGTGACTTTGTCATTTTTCCAAGTAAGCATGATTCGCAACTATCATCTGACTTTAGGTCAAACGACTCCAAGACTCCATCCTTTTGGAGTTGGCCTATGCGTTTCTTGCTTATATGTCCAAGACGACAATGCCATAATGATGCTTTATCCAAGTTATTATTATTAGAGAATCAATACACAAAACATTATTTCCTAAGTTATCTACAACAGATACAGCTTCATACACACCATCACAAGGTAATGCTTTAAAATAAAGAACATTATTAAAGAAAGCATTAATCGAACCAACTTCATTATCAAATGAAAAGGTGAAACCTTGTTTGTACAATGCATGAAAGGAAATAATATTTCTTGCCATTCTGGCGAGTAACAACATTTATTCAAATCTAAACTAAACCCACTACTTAGCGATAAAGTATAAACTCCAATCTTGGTGACAGGTGAAGCTTTCCTGTTCCCCATGATCAAGTTTATTCTTCCTTGCTCCACATTCTCACTTCTTCTTAGTCCCTGCAAGTCACAACAAATATGAATACCACAACCGGTATCAAGGACCCAAGATTTAGAATGGGGTGAGTTATTAGAAATGATAGTGTAAATACCTGCATGGTTGGGTTTGACTTTCCCATCCTTCACATCCTGCTGGTACTTTGGGCAGTTCCGCTTCCAATGAGCTTTTTCATGGCAATAGAAGCATTCAGCCTCTTTTGGGTCAGAAGAAGGAGTAATGAAACCTTTCTTGGTTCCACTTGAAGAAGAGCCATCAAGGGTCCGAACCTTGGTACCCTTCGAAGATCTCTTTCTCTTCCTCCCTCGACTTTTCCCGATTGCCAAAACCGGAGTTGAGTTTGGAGTAGGAGTGATAGCAACCGACTTCCCCTTAAGACCTGATTCTGCAGTCTTGAGAAGTCCCTGAAGTTTGCTGAGTGTGACCTCTTCCTTATTCATGTGATATGTCATGCGGAATTGATCATAGCACGATGGTAAGGAGCGCAAAATTATATCTATTGCAAGCTCCTCAGGGAAGTTCACATTAAGCTTCAGCAATCGATCCACATACCTTTGCATTTTCTGCATGTGGCTCGTGACGGAATCCCCGTCCTTCATCATGGTTGTTATCATGGAGCAGATGATTTCGTACCTCTCTTGTCGTGCACTTTGATGGTATCTTTCCATCAAATCTTGGTGCATTTCATAAGGGTAGAAATCCTCATAGGACTTTTGGAGTTCTGCTGTCATTGTGGCCATCATGATGCATGCTACTTTCGTAGCATCCCTTTCATGTGCCTGAAAGTCAGCGATCTCCTGAGGAGTTGCAGTGGTCTCATCAATCTCCTTAAGCTCCTTGTCAAGGACATATTCTTTGTCCTCGTAGCGGGTAATCATCCTGATGTTTCTGATCCATTCATTGAAGTTGGATCCATCAAAGGTGACTTTCCCACACAAACTCATAAGAGTAAAGGAGCCATTAGGATTCGAGCCAGAAGCAGCATTATTTGAAGACATCTGAAAGAAGAGAACAAGTTTAGTATAGATATAAGAGAGTCCTTAATAAAACACCCAAATGTAATATTAAGGCTAGGATCCAATCACAATATAATATAACTTAGAAGAGGTATGCCGTAATCTAAGCTATACCATATTTGAAAGGTAGGTGAATGACGATTCACCAATTTCCACCACGAAAACCGAAATATTAGATATTAGGTTTTATGATTGGTTCTTAGAAATTCCTAGATTCTTTGAGATTCAATGAACTTTTCAAAGGCATGTTTCAATCTCGAGAGTGCCCTCCAAGTTTTGTGACTGGGATACCGAGGATCACAAAACGAGGTGTGAAGTAACCATGCAAATCACTTGGTACCCTTAAAGTTTATCACTCAATCGATGTGCCGGTAAACCACACACGCTCCACCGATACTATAATAAACCTTAAGTCACCCTTTACCTACCTTGTTAAGTCCAAGTTAGTGTGCCGGTTAACCACACACGCTCCACCAACGACTTAGACAAAGTGTAAAGTGTAATTTCATGGATTAGCACCTTATTCACATTTTCCTAAAGTAACTAAGATTGGGAATTTAATTAAACATTTAGTTACTTTATAATATTCATCATACTTTGAATGAGAATTTATAAGTCCTTGCCTTACCCGTTCGGCTAACGACCCTCCACCAGTCAAGCAAGCGGTGGGTGAGAGTAGACACCCATTAAGTCACCATTTTATAGGCAACAACCTTATAGACCGGCTTCGTGAATGAGGCGTACTAGCGGTAAGACGACTTTATTCTTATATATATATATATATATATATATATATATATAATTATTAAATCATCATAATATAAGTATAAGGGTTGAATTTTAATTTTTTAAAATTCTAGGGGTTGGAACTAAAGTTTTAACTTAAATTTACTTGTTCCAAAACTTGAGGGCAAGTTTTGTAACTTTCAAAACTTTTCATTTCTTTTTAACTTATGAGTTTAATAGAGTAATAAAACGAAGACTCTTCATTTTCTAACTCTTGTGTTCTTTTAATGGTTTTAATTCAAGTGTGACTCTTGGTTTTCCATAACTTGAGGACAAGTTATGGACTCCATTAAAACACATTATGATCAAGAATTAATCTACCACATAGGTTACATATAATTCCTATGATCATCTAAAACATCATAAGAACAAGAACATGAATATGAACACATTCATAAATCAAAATTACACTTAAAACTTGTAATTTTGATAACTAGTTGTTGTAAATGAATTAGAAAGAACATTACACCATCAAAGCAAGTTTTCAAGTACCAAAACAGTTTAGGGTAATGTTTCTAGTCCATTTCCAGCAACTAAAATCGAAATTCTGCAATCCGTCGACCCTACTCGCCGAGTGCATGAACTTACTCGCCGAGTTGGTTGAAGATACACGTGAACTCGATGAGTCCACTCGTAGACAGCAAGATTTTCGACTTTTTTAAACTTTTAAGCACAAATAAAAAGCAAACAAGCCTAGGCTCTGATACCACTGATGGGTTTTGAGCACTCTAACACTTCCTAAGTGTACATGCAACCCTAATAACCTTGGATCTATGTTTGTCTAATTATCATGCAAAGTTGAATTCCAAGGTTATATTCCTATCTAGCATACATGGGGAACAATTTTAACTTGAATAATAGATAGAATAACTTACCTTGTTGTTGTTTGTGTTCCTTGAAACCTTGTGAGCCTAGCACCCCAAGTGTGATGCCTCAAATGCTTCACACAACACCAAATGCTCTTGGAAGAACTTATGAGAGAACACACACTTCTTGAAATCGGCCAAGCCCTCTTGTTTCCTTAGTGTAGCCGATTTTGGTGGAGAATATGATTCTTATATAGTGTTGACACATCTAGGGTTACACCATGTAAACCCTAATGTGTCATGACTCTTCATTTCCATGACCCATGGGTTTGTAACTCCCATGGAGCATCCATGAAGCATCCTATGGGCGGAACCCAACTTGATAGTCCATGGAGCCTCTTAGCCCACTATACAAGATATGGATGATTTACATAATCAACCCATATATTTAATTAGTTATCTTTTTGATCACTTAATTAATTCTAAATTAATTCTTGATCAAACTAATCAAATAGTATTATTAATATATTAGAACTTATAATATATTAATAATCTCCAAGTGTTATTTCTCTCATTTAGTCTATCCAATTGCATGGTGCCATGCAACCCAAATGGACCATGCCGGGTCGGGTCAAGTACATACCAGAAATAGTTATGGACTTACACACGTTATCCAACAGTTATCTCTTATTTGGTGGAGCTTGCTACCGTCAAGGCCCAACATAATGATTTGAGGGAGAGAGTGGTAGGCCTTGAGGCTAAAAAGCGCAAATTTAAGAAGCGCTATGACTTGTTGTCCGGGGAGAAAGCGTATGTTGAGGAGAATGTGGAGGTCTTGTATGTGGAAGTGGAGCACCTATAATAGCCGGTGGAGGGCTTGGAGGCAGAGAATGTGACATTGGAGGACGATGGCTAGTTGTAGGGCAAGCAATTGGCTGCGTAAGAGTCGAAGAGGAAAGATTTAAAGGAGGATGTGGTATGGCTTCTCCATAAGGATGTTGTCAGTATGGTGGACTGGGTGGTGGAGATCCCTGAGTTCTCTCTGGGGGTGAGGCAGATGAAGGCAGTGTGCATAGACACCGGCGTGGAGGGTGGCAAACAAGTCATTTGGGAGCAAGTTGCCACCGGGAAGTTTACGCCCGGAGTGCCAGGTGTTGTTGTTGAACATACCCAGATGATGCACGCTTCTGTGAATGCCTTCATGGAAACATACTTTACCTCATACTTTCATCTTGGTGAGATTGATATGGAAGGCCTCCGCCGGTTATGCAACGATTATGATGCTGAAGATAACCTACCTAAAGGTAGCTCCTCCAAAGTCGAGCCTTCCTCCAACCCTCTTGGTAAGTGATCTTTCCTCTTTTGTTTGACATTTTGAGAAACATTTTTGAACACTATTTGGTTTGCTTGTGGCCCTGCGTGTCCATTGTTTAAGTCCGAGTGATATCCGTCGAATAATAAACTCTTTTCTCTTTGTGGTGCTTATGTTATGGTTGCTTTTTGTTCAAGGTTTCTTTACTCGTCATCCCAGGTGGTTTGTGTTGGCCATCTTGGGTTTGGATTCTTCCCAAAGGTTAGTGTTGGCCTTTGGGGTGGTAATGATTTTTTTATGTGTGTTTGTACCAAAAACCTTTAATGTTTGCCTTAGGAATTTGTCAAGTGTGATCCCTATTCATTTGGCAAGTTTTGGGGACCCAAGGTATGTTCTTTTTTGGTTAATAAGGGGTGTTTGTTCTAAGCCATGATGTTTTGGCTTTAGCTTGAGGGCTCGCTCTAGTAAGCTCTGACATCGTCCATCTTTAGAGTCATGAACCTATATTCTTGGGTCAATGATTTGGCTATCCTTTTATCGTAAACCTTGGCTGGTCCTTTTTTATTAAGTTATTCCTTTGTGGTTACCTTTTCAAGATTTTGTTATAAGTCTTTGGCTTAAACGGTTTGCATTCGGGCCTTGATCGTCTAAGTTGAGCTGAAATCGTCATCTAGAGGCATTTAGGACTTAGATACTTTTGTATTAAGGGAAAGGTTATGAGCCTTTAAAGCCTTTGTTCATGTCATATGCAAGGGTAACAACCCTTTGAACTAGATTGACATGTTTACGGAAAGGTTATGAGCCTTTAAAGCCTATGGTTGCAATCTCACATCGATTTCGCTCAGGTGACTTGGATGATCAGTCCTTATTGCCACTTGGTAAATGTATACAACCGCTTATTGAAGTGGTAGCTTGGGGTATTAATAAACATCTAAATTGTTTGTTTTTTTTAAATAGTCAATTTTCTTCATTTTATTCGTAATACTTTTGAGACATCAACTTTGTCAAATGAGAATAACAGTGGCTAAATATTGGCACGAAAGTAGCCCTAGAAACTAGAGCTACTTGGAGGGTTTTGAATATCCGCTTTGAGTTAGATCACATTGTCATTTCCCTCGGTGTGCCTTATACTGCCTTTTCACCTTGTTCTAGAAGTAAAAGTGGTGCAAACTTTGCGAGTTCTAGGTTCGGGGAATGGGCCTCCCATCTTGTGCTTTTAGAACATATTCTATGTTTAGATGTCTTTCTAATATCTTGTACGGGCCTTCCCAGGTGACACTTAGTTTCCCCTGGGGTTATGTATAGCTGGACTCATTATTTTTCAATACCCATTCGCCAACCTTGAAGTTCTTCACTCGCACTCGTTTATTGTAGTAGTTTTCGCCGCGTGCTTTGTAGGATGCATGGCGAAGTTGAGCGTCTTCACATTTTCCATTGAGCGTGTCTAGGTCTTGACGTTTCTCAGTTTCATTGGCATTTTCTTTGAAGTCTGTTATGCACATCGATCCTGACAATATCTCAAGTGGAAGAACTGCTTCCGTGCCATACGTCAAGCTGAATGGTGTATCGTGGGAATTTATTATACCCAGGCCAATTTACACCTTATTTGGTGATTTTTAAGGCCATCAATAATGATCTTGTTCGATATCTCGGTCTATCCGTTAGCCTAGGGGTGTACTACAAAGGTAAACCAATGATGGATCTGTTTTTCTTCACATCACTCTTTGAAGTGGCTTCCTTCGAATTCAGTGCCATTGTCTCTGACCATGACCCTTGGAGTACCAAATCATGTGAGGATGCTTTTCCACATGAATTTTATCATTTGTCTACCTGTAATGGCGGTCAGGTGCTCGACTTCGATCCACTTGATGAAATAGTCAATAACAACCAAAAGGAAATTTGCTCCGCCTAGGGAGACGGGAAACAGACCAAAAATGTCTAGGCCACATTGATGAAAGGTCCTGGGGCTACTGAGTGGCATGGAGGGCTGGTTTTGGCGGGCGGCAAAAGCTCGACACTCTGGACACTTTTTGGTGAGTTTGGTTGCATCCTTGTAGATGTATGGCTAATATACCCCAAGGCGGAGGATTTTTCCAGTGAGTGCTTGTGCGCCTTCCTGTGCTCCAACTTCCCTTGCATGACTTTCTTCCAAAAGCGACTGTCCCCCAACGCTTGCTATGCACTTCGACCATGGTTCCAAGTATCCCCTTATATATAATTTCTTATCCCTTATAGCGAACTGTAGCACTTTAATCTTGATCCTCCTGGCCTCTGTGGGATCAAATGGGAGGATCCCGTGAAATAGATGATCTATAAAGGGTGTTATCCAATTTGGAGTTGTTGTGACAATGCCGACCTATTTGTTATCAATGCTTCTTTCCGGGAGAATTTCCCCCAGGACCTTCTTGGTCAGGCAATCGAATGATATCGAAGCTAAACTTGTTGAGGGCATCGGCCATTCAATGTGTTAAACTGGTCTCAAACCAAAGAACAACAAAATCATATTACAAAGAAATGTACCTAATGGCATTTTGTGATGGAACCTCCATAAGAATCGATTTCAAAATATAAATGCCCGCAACGACACCACTTGAAGTTCTATGATTGGAATGGAAAAGTTAGGGTTTCTTGAATGAAAGGTTTTAAAGATGGTCACACCAATGGTCTTGCAATTTTGATAAGTGAAGGTCCCCGCTTTTTGTTGCAGATTGCAACTTAATCGAGGCGGCACACACCAAAACCATGCATGCTTATTGCTACCCTGTACAACACCGTAAACTGTTCAATACCTCATAAGACCATGCCTCAGTAACCTAACACCCCGTTCTCGAGTTCAACTTAACGAAAGAAAAGAAAGGAAATTACTAAAATTGAGAAGAAAGTAAAAGAAATTGGTGTTCCCGAGCTTCATTAGAGGAAGGAAGTGGGGGAAATGGAAGGATCACTTTCCCTCCTAACTTTCCTTCCGGTTTCAAAGGACCTGGAAATAGAAAACAAAATGATTAATTTTCCTTCCACTTCTCTCCAACTCGGGAACACAAAAGACAAATTTCTTTTTCTTTCCTTTCTTTTCTTTTCTCTCATTGCTTTATTTTCTCTTCTTTTCTCTTCTTTGCTTAAACTCGGGAACTATGCATAATGAAACATCTAATAAAATTGATTTTTAATAAGTTATATATATATATATATATATATATATATATATATATATATATATATATATATATATATAGGTTCATTTATAACTACTAAGTATTGTGTAACCGGATCCTCACCATTGAATCAATGAAAATCAGAATGATTTCTAAGAGAATGAAAAAACAAAATTATTAAATATTTTATTCAAATAAAATGTATGAAAAGGTATTGTGGGTATTCTATGTATTTTTATATCTATCCTAATAAATGAAGATCATTTTGCCAAATGTCATCTTCTCATTAAATTTGTCACATGTAATTTTGTAAATTTTTTGATTAAATTTAAATCCACATGTCATTTTGTGGTTTTTTTTTAATTAAATCAATCAATATACCACATAATACTAAATTTATATATGTAAAGTATTAAATATATTTTAATGTGATAATAAATGAAAAGAATCTTAAAAAATATATAAGATATATTAAAATACATTGAATATGATAATAAATTTAATGAATATGACAAAACAATCATTGATATTATGGATGATATTCTTAATAGTGATTCTATTTATTCATTAGTTGAATATCTTTATTTATTTTAAAAAATTCTTAATATTTAAACTTTGATATATATATTTTTTAATCAACCTGTGTAATACACGGGTTTCACACCTAGTGTATTTTTATATTAGGATATTTTCAATTTTATGACACATGTATGACTTTTTTTTATCACGTTTAAACCAAATTTTAGGAAATTTACATCCACATTAATTACAGTATTAATTACATTTTGAAATTTTATTAAAGAATACAAAAAATTATAAGGAATGAAATTGTGTTATTTTTCAAATAATAGGTTGGAACATAGAAAATTTGTACATCAAAACACAATATAAAATATTGTCTCTATTTGCTTGTGTGAACTCGTGATTCTTGAATTGATTACATCACAAAAATCTTATTAATAACTATTTTTGAAATGGATACATCAAAAACCAATACAGTCTTGAAAGAATTACATAAAATTTTGTTAAATCCTTAAAAGAATTACATCAAAAGCTGACACATTTATGAAAAGAAATAAAAAAAAAAATACATTCTTGTGAGAATGCATTATTGAAGAATAACAAAGGAAGAAGAGAATGATATGGTTGGTGGTCTTTTGATATTAGCCTACCGAAACCTCTTTGTGTTCTTCAAAAATTTGGACTTCAATTTTTCTTTCAAATATTTCAACAATCACCTATTTCACCATTAAAGAATGAGTTTTGATGAAGGAAGAGTTACTATTTGTAATATCTCAAAAATTAACATAAAATTTTCATTTTTAGAATCTATCCAAAAATCATAATTGTTTACAAAACATTGTTTCCAAATATAATAATCAGAATGTCCCAAAATCAAATATCATAAATCAGAAGGATGTTCACGAGAAAACGTGAGCTTACGAAAAGCACCTTCAAAGTAGTCTACATTTCGAGAACATCAATCTTGTCACTTCGGCTATGTATACGACCACCCACAAATCGATAAAATATTTATTTATAAAAGTTCAAAAAGTCAAATTTCACTTTTCTAGGACTTGTGATCCAATATCCTTTTAAGTCGTCTGGTGTGGGCAACACCTACTGGTGTTTTTAGGATGTCAATTCATCATCTTCTCTCCATAACATCTCTAAGGGGATGATGTTATTTTTTGGAATGGCATTGAGGAGGAAGAAGAAAAGCAGAAAAACAGAGGAAGGAAGAAAACAAAACGGGCATTGCCCTTCGTTACCAGTACCATGGGAAACAACGCAACACTAAAAAATGGGAGGTCGGGGTGGTATTCCCCCGTACTTACATCGTTTTTAGGATGCCACCTTACAAAAACGATTGTGGGCGTTGCCAGGGCCGACCTTATGGTTTTAAGATTAAAGATAGGGTTTAGGGCCCCCAATTGTAAGGGGCCCCATTTACTTTTGATCCATTGTTAGTAGTTGCCAAAAAATCAGGCTTAAGTTTTGATCGACTCTTCAAGCGGCGATACGGCAACAAAATCTTCCGTTCTTTTTTCCATTCTCATTCTCGTCTTCTCGATTACAGGATGTTCTCCAATCGTTTCTTCTACAGTTCTGTTTAGTTGCTGTCTCGTTGTCTCCCTGAACCGCAACAGATCATCATCTAAAAAAATTGGGATCTTCTTCCTTTTTCATTCTTGGTTTCTCCTGATTTAATAATATGCTATAATGCTATTTTGCTGCTATTCTTTTGTCATTGAAAAATTGAAACGGTAATATTCTTTGTATTTTCAATTTTTAGTTTTAATTTTTTTTATTGTCTCAGAATTAGGGCTAATAGGCAATTAATTAGGGTTAATCTTTTCAGTTTTCACAATTGACACTTGATTGCAGCCAGGAATATAAAAGTTATATAAACTAAATTGTATTATCTAAAAGGATGAAGTATAAATAATAGAAAATGTTGGTTGGTTAACACCAAGACATACCAATTGTGAGCAAGTATAATATACTTTCTATATGCTTTCAATCATGATTTTCTGATTTTCACAAAAAACGCATGCATAAAAAAAAATTAACTCCGCAATTTTAAATTTTTTTAGTTTATTATTAATGGTCTCAAGTCCGAATAAAGGGGTGTGTTTATAACATTAAGTATAGTAATGTCAAAAGGTCCTATATTTTTGGTCGCTTAGAGCCCCTAAACTGGTTGTGCCGGCCCTGGACGTTACCGACACCGAAACCTATTATTTGATTCCATCAATCGTCATATGACACATTTTTTTTTCTTAAGACTTTAATAGTGGTACTTATAAGTCTCGTCGCCTTTTATAGCTCATTTAATTTTAGGTTTTTAGGAAGTATCCAACAACTCAATCTTTTTCAATATCATTCAATCGCTTCATTTCCTCGACAATATCAAGAGAAATGAGACCACCATCAATCATGGTGTCGATCTCACACAATATGTTAGAGTGGAGTTTGTGGATTAAAAACCCGCTCAATTGTAATTGAATTATTGTAACAATTTCACCTCACTAGCCACTTGCTGGTAGGGTGGAGTTTTTTAATAAAATATATTTTTATCGGTTCAAAAAAAAATTACATCTTTATCTCATTTTTTCTTATTGTAATATGCATTCCATTGTTTTGTCTTTCCCTTTAACATTTTATTTTAATTTATCATTAAAAGTAATAAATTTATTTGGGGATGTTTGGTAAAACTTAAAAAATGAGCTTTTTGAATTATTACTGGTTTGATATCGTTATAAGTTAAAAAAATGTTTAGGTAAATAACAATTTATAGTTGTTGGTAACCTTTAATAAATAAAAAACTACATCTTACTTATTAAAAACTCATTATTCTACCAAACAGGTTATAAATAAAAAAATTATAAGTATTTTCAAATAAGTTTTGCCAAACACCCTCTTAGTATGTACATCATAATCAACTGGTGACTGTTGCTTCAAACCACTTTCATTAAAACCATCTAAATGAATATAGGATTTATACAAATTAAACAAGTAAATCCCATAGTACAAATTTACATTTTTAAAAAGAATAAGAGGGTGTTTGGCTTAGCTTTTATGGGGCAAAAGTCCTTTTTGTAAACGACCTTTTTGTAAAATGACTTTTTACAAAAATTGTTTTTTAAAATGTGTTTGGATTAGCTTTTGAAGAGAAAAAGTTAAAAGTTAATATATTTGGGTTAACTTTTAGGAGAGAGTAGGGAAACATATGTTGTGAATGAAGAGTTAATTAAGATAAATGGAGGTATATTGGTAATTTAATATTTTTACTTCTGAAAAGTTAAGAAAAATCACATAATCGTGACTTTTCAAAAATGCTCAATTTACTCTATTGGAAAAGTCATTTCCAAAAGTCATTTTCACTTAAAGTAACATCTTTTTGACTTTTTCTAAAAGATAAAAAGTAAAAATCATTTTAAAAGTTAAAACAAACACTCTCTAAAACGATGGTTAGAAAGAAACCTTTCAGTGAGGAACGAGATCTTGAAATGGTGTGGCATCAACCTTGGACCCATAAACACCCTTATGAAACTACTAGAGTTCATCTCTAAATGGGGCCACTGCCCGAAAAAACGAAGAATTCTTACGATGATCTGCTACGAAATGATGGTGCATTTGGAAAGCTCGTAACGATCGAAATTTCAAACAGGTGAAATTAATTCCCACCAAAGTAGCAGATGACATTCAATCACTGGTGTACTTTTGGGTAAAACATAGGGGCTCGATGGACACTATTAGATGGTGTGAATGGAGAATTTCTCCTTTTTTATTGCAACTTATAAAACTTTGCATGTTTCACTGCTTTCTTTTTTCTGTTGGGCTTCATCTAGTTTCTGGCTAAATGATGACCCTTAATAATATCTTTTCCGTTTCAAAAAAAAAAAAAGATCTTTCAAAAGCATTAATCAAAATATCATAAAAAGTGTCCATCAACTGCATATAAACCAAGAAACAATCGAGTTTGCTCATTTTATCTCCATTTTACTAATTCTTGTGAAATTAATCCCTCCCATATGGATATCCACTAGCCCACCTCTTATATATAATTATTAAAAGGATCCAGTATTTTGAAAAAAAAAAAAAAAATTAGAATCCCTTCTTTCATCATTATACTAAATCGTAGTCTCTAAATACACAAAATTCCCCGAATTATGGTTCATAAAATCAAGAATAAAGTTCCAAAGAGTTTATTTGACACGAATGTCTTGTGGAGCACAAACATCCATCATAAAACAAGAAAATTTTGTATTTAACCCATTCACTCTTTACAATCATCACCTTATTTGTACATACGATTCTATTTTTTTTTACTAAAATAGCAACGTCCCAAATAGAAATGATACCGCGTGATATACCATGAGCACTTGAGCTGTAAATCGAACTGATAATTTCCTAAAACACCATGGACTTTTAGAATATCCACACTAGTTAGAAGCATTTTCTCCCAAAAAATTAATACCATTCTCAAGACAGAGCTTACTAATCTCATTCCTTACCCTGAATACCACGTATATTTAACTACAAATAATTCAGATACTAACTATCACCCACTCTCATTATAAAAATTTTAAGTTCTTGTTTTCTTCCCTTCATTTTGTATTCCAACACCTTTTTAATTTCAATGTTACATATCATATATATATATATATATATATATATATTAAAGGGGAGCACTTCTTAGGAACAGTGTCTAACCAGGGTGGGTTTAATTCCTTAACCATGGTCATCGCTTCATCCAAACCTTCTGCTTGAAACCACCGTTTTTTCCACAGGTTTTTGTCGTTCCTTTCTTTCGCTCCTCTGCAAATCCACCGCCTCCATAAATGGACTTCTGCCTTCCAGTTCCTTCCATGGTTTAATGCTCTTCCAAGCGACGACTTTCCCCACCCGACCTCCACCTCTATCTGGTAAGGTAATTTCTTTCATCTACGGCTTAACGATTCTCGATGTTTAGTTTAGTTTTCGCTTCCCAAGGTCTTCCGCTTAAGTTCTGTCTTCTTCACAGATCTTCCCAACATCACCACCGTTCATGGCTATAATCGCCACCTCACCTGAAACCATTGCGCTCCAGTTTATCTCCAACTCAGGCGACCACCATAGAAGAAACCACCATCGCCTTCTTCTTCTCAGGTATCGAATCAATTTTGTAATACCTCAAATCGATTTCATTCTCAGACGTACAGAGGTTATAAGGTATTGATGCATCATCGGTGCCGTCCAGGAAGATTCCTCCGACTTCTTCGTTGTTGTGGGCCCGTAAACTCCGTCATTTCATAGATTCTGGTGTTTATCTTGGCTCCGAAGCTTTAATGGGTAAAATTAATTAGTTTCCTCCAAATCTGTCTCTTCTATTACTGTTCGCTTATGAATAAGTTTATGTGCTAAGATCTTTGTTCGGGTTCCCCATATTCTCTTATATATTCCAACTGATTCCCACAGTCTATAAATTGATTTCAGCCTCTGGTTTGACAAATTTGTTTTCGCATTGATTTTAGGAATTTTTTTCAGAATTTTGAAATCCCCAGCGTTGGTGGGTAGAGCACAACACACCGCCTCCCTTCTTTCAATCAAATGGTGTTCTGCTGCTCGCTTCCTTTTCTTCCGCCTTCGGGTTTTTGATCTCGGATCAGGTAACTAATAATGTCTAATTCTTTGTGATTTTATTAAATTATATTTGCTCTGCTGATTTGAATTGAAAATTAGGTCCTTGCACAAAGAAATTCTGTCTTCAGGTGGACTTTGGAAGATTCCACGCAAGTGTTCGATGAAAGTACTCAAATACGTCAACCGGTGTTGTGGGTTCAAGAACAACCTTAGTGTTGTCTACAAACGAAACAAATTTTCTATATGTATCAGCTGTTGTCTCACTAGATGATGTTTAGAAATTTGCGCGAAAATGACAACATATATAGGTGAGTTTGTATAAATTTAGTTTTAAAAGCTTCCATTTGAATTCAATAATAGTAGTCTCATAACAACAACAGGGAACCAAAGGTTCAAATTACTTGCCTTAGTCTGAATACAACATGGTGTTGAGTTGGAGCTTATGGAATACCATTCATTAGGACCAAATATAGATATGGTCATATAGTTGACATAGTAAATTCAATTTGTTGCCCAGGTTCTATTAATTTTCAACTTCTATTAATTGAATTGGTGTATTTTCTGAAATTTAAAGAACTTGCATGGGTTTTACTTTATAGTTGTTTTATGAGGTAGTCATTAAAGCATTGTTGGATAGAATGTATGATGAGAAGTACATCTAGAAGACATCCGTGAGCCTTACTTACCCAACATCGCATACTTGAAATCCAATCAGGTAATGACAACGACCATAATTGATACATTTTTTACACTTTAATGCATTAACAAAAATTTTAGTTTGGATTGATTTAAAATTTTTTGGGTCCCTTAATGTTGTTCTTGATAAAAAAAATATTTTTGTTCTTTGCAATTCTTGGAATGTGACGTACAACTTCGATTCAAAGGAAAAATATGGTAAATCAATTTGATGATGAATAATACCAACTTCAATTTTATGAAAATTGCAAAATACATATGATGCTTTGGATCTATTCTCCACGAGTTTCTCTGTTTAGGCCAACTTTTTGTGTTTCTATCATCACGTTTTCTCCATATATTACTATTGTTTATGTTGTGCAACTTCCTTCCCTTTTCTTATTACCAAATGACTTTTGCTAATTAAATAAATTAGTTACTTATTTAGTGTTTGCTTACCTCTATTCTCATAATTTCTTTTTATGTGATGATTTTTTTGCAGCTCATGATACCTTTTTGTTATGGAGGAACAACAAAAACTCAGCAAATCCATCTCTAAAATAGATAAAACAAGGTGAACATGAAAACTGGATACCAATCTTTGCAACTTGCAATGCTGGAATCGGAACCGACAATTAGGAGCCAAGCAAAATCACTTCTGGTTCTTACATTTTTTAACCATTAACCGCCTCGATATAACTATAACTTTGTTTAATAACTTTTTTGTTGGTCCTTAAGGAAATATATCAACAAAAATGTAGAAAAATTACTAGATAATGTTTAGGTCTTTTTTTTTTTTTCCAGATTTGAAGACATTTATACATTACCGGTTTTATTAATTTGGCCAATTAATTATATTATGTAGTGAATTAACTCTTATTAGTTTAGCCACAAAAAATATCAACATATCGCCAAATGATTTGTTAAAGCCAAATGACAACATTACCTTTACCCACATTTTTGTTGCACTTCCATCAACTACATCCTCAATCAAATTAGCTTTATTTATTTTCATGTTTTTTGTATTTATTTGTTTTAGATTTTGTATGTCATTTGTGACTAATACTATTGTATCCTTTAAAGGATGGATGGATGGAGGAGCATCATTGGAGCTTGCAGGTGGAGGTGGAAGGTGGAATATAGGAGGCCAAGCTACTAAAAGGTCATTTTCATTCTCAATCTTTATGATAACCTGTTGTTCATGTAGAAGTTACTTGCTAATATACTTTCCTAATATACTTTCCGTTTTAGCGTTTGAATGCAATGTTGGTTATTTTGGTTTATGATATATGATTTTCATTGCCAAAATTTGTCAAAATGTGTTGCATTTTAATTATATTTCAGTTAAAGAGGGTCATCTAACAATTTTCTTACTTTGCTTACAGATTCGTTGATGGTTTTTTTTCCTTATTTATTTATTTATTTATTTATTTACAGACCAGTTAAAGAGGAAAAGAATGAGCAACTCAAACTATAAACAAATAGTTGATCAAATAACATTTACAAAGAACAAACAACAAAAAAAATTATCGCATCCGACCCCCGCAACGTAGGGATTCCCCACCTAGTTATCTATGAAAGAAATACCATTTCATTCATTTATTTTAAATTGTGATTTTATTATTACCTCTCCTTCTACCATTCAATGTTTGTGAAAATGATTGATATATTATTTTTGAACGACATAATATTTTATTACAAAAAAATGAAATAGCAAGAAGCTAACCAAAAATATCTTTACATTAGGAAATGAATGAGATATTTCTTCTAGAAAAAACATCATAAATGGTCCCTGTGTTTTCCCAGATTCTGAAGTTTAGTCCCTGTGGTTTAAAAATCTCATAAATGGTCCCTGTGCTTTCAAAACTTTTGACAGATGGTCCTTATTGCTAACTCCATTAAGTTTTATCCGTTAACTGAATGACATTTTAGTCATTTCACACCATAAGGACGATTTATGAAGTTTTTCTCTTATTTACAAAGGGGTCTCTCTCTCTCTCTCTCTTTCTCTCTCTCTCTCTCTCTCTTTGACGCCTGCTTCCCCCTACTTTGTTTCCCTCTCTTGAGGAAATAGTCAACCAAGCCACATTCCTCCCCTACGGCAAATCCCAAATGGAGTTCTACGCCGACGACCTGGTTCCATGGCTAGAAAACCAGACCTCGAACCTTGCCACCGGATCCGCCAGCGCGTTATTAACCATTGCCATGGACGCGTTGGTGCCAAGCTCCAACACCCATCTGCAAACGCTGCGGCCAGCTGCTAATGGCTTCGTGGTTCACCCAAATCGAAACTAGAAACCAAGTTACGATACATAGTGATGCTTACAGTTGGATTTTTTGGACATTTAATTTGACGCTCCCATTTAGGGTATTTTATGGTGTCGTGGTGGAGAAGAAGGTTGACCGATCTCCTACATCAATTTCATCAGGAACCACTTACGATTTCTAGGGCTATTCGAATTCATCCGGTTAGGATCTGCCTACGATTTCATTATAAACAAGCACTCATTTGATTCTTGGATGAACACATCTTCATATTCTGGTACTTATAACTCCACTTCCTCCCATCTCGGTTTTCCGATCACAACCAGCACATTCCGGTTCTTCTTCCTCAATATAAACTCAATGGAAATCATTTGTGATCTTTATTCTCAATGGTAACTTAAGAATCAGAATCCTAAATTCGAATAAAAAACTAAAATCATGTTTGCTTTTGTTTCTGTAAATCAATTTGAGTTAGTGTGTGGGTGTTCATCCTACCATAAATTGATTTGTATGTGGATGTTTATCTCTCACTGTTTATTCAGTTGTCTTTATATGTTGGGGGTCTTGTGATTCTGGTGCTCCGGTGACTCCACATATGAGTTTGGACTCTCCATGGGAGGTCAAATAAGGAAAAAGAAGTTGCAGAAGGTGTTTGGACTCAAATTTTGTTGTAAATTTGGTGGTTTTCAAGTTTAATTGTATTTATGTATGTGTAGTTTAAGTTGTAGGTCAAATAAGGAAAAAGAAGTTGTAGAAGGTGTGGTGGATGGCTGGGTTGTCGCAAAACGAGAGGAGCAGTCTCTCTTTTCCGACGACCCTTTGTGGGTCTTGTTCTAGTTGTTGGCAGCGATAAAGCGAAGGGAAGAAGAGCAGCAGTGGGTCGCAACATGGAAATGTGGCTTAGGCTGCTAATTGTCGAAGGTATAAGGTGGGAAAATGGGTGCTGGCAGTGGTGTTTCTTGGTGGTTTACCGTGGTTGAGAGTGATTCTTCACCAGTGGCAGTTCGGACAATTTTTTTCTTGTCGGACATGAGCTAAGAAAGAGAGAGAGGAGGTGGCTTGGAGATAGATAGATAGAGAGAGAGAGAGAGAGAGAGAGATTATATATTAAATAATTATATTTAGATTTTTCTTTTTTAAAAAAAATAACCGAAAAAGATCAAATATGGTCCCTGTGGTGTGAAATGACTAAAATGCCCTTTAGTTAACGGATAAAACTTAACGGAGTTAGCAATAAGGACCATCTGTCAAAAGTTTTGAAAGCACGGGACCATTTATGAAATTTTTAAACCACAGGGACTAAACTTCAGAATCTGGGAAAACACAGAGACCATTTATGATGTTTTTTCTTTCTTCTACTTCTTACCCTAGTTTTGAGCGAGAGTCCAATTAATTAAAAAAATAGATCACTTGATCTACCTTATTTTAAAAATGTTATTACAAGTTATATATTAAAATCTATTGCGACCTTAATTTTTTTAGTGACATACCTTAATTTGTTTGGTTTAAAAAATAAAAAGAAATCAAGGGTTGAAAGTCCACATTTTATATTTCATTATCCCAAAACTAAATGCACATAAAATATCACCCAAAGAAATAACCACTACATTCAAAATTAGGTTAGAAAAAAAAAATATTATAAAAAAATAGTATTTTGATTATTCCCATAACACAAGCAAGTCACAAACACAAGAATGCAACATCGCACCTAGTAATCGTTTATTGCTTAACGATCTGATCCGGAACCACAACTAGTAGTTTTTTGATTTTTTTTTTCATTTTCTATCAGTATCAATTAAATAGTGAACCACATGAGTTTATATTTTAGACTCACCACCGAGCGTGATACACTACTAACTGGAGATGTAAACTATACCCCATCAAATCTCGATCCTGACTCATGCTCGACAAAGTACAAATCCTTTTTATTTGTGTCATCGGAGACCACGACTAGGGGTGTCAAGTTATGACACGTCAAAACAAAAATACATATCACGAAACGAAATCGGGATGAAATCAAAGTTTGAATTTGTGTTTTTGTCGTGTTCGTATCAAGTTTAAAAAAATATGATGTCATCTCATGTCGTGTTTGTGTTCATAAATCAACAGGAAACTAACACGATTGGCGATTGAGCATGTGTTTGTGGTGTTTTTTGTGTTCATCATTTTTGTCGTGTTATATATGATTAAATATGAATTAAATAAACTAATAGTTATGTAATTTTATCTTTATCATATCGTGTTATCGTGTTTTAATTGGTTCATTTTCGTGTTAATAAAAAAAACATGATACCGTGTTGTGTCATATTTATGTTACACAAAACCTTGTTGTTTGTGTCGTGTCAGACAAAAATGCGACACGACTGTCCGATTTGACATCCCTAACCACAACATCACGACATCAGGTAAAATCGAGTTTGTACAACCCTCGGTAGGCCCTTGATGTGCACCATTTGGTATGTCTACCTCCCCAACCTCATTTGTTGCATTGTATCTTTTTTATCTAGACTAAAAGAGTCCTTATCTTTCTTTGGAGGTCTCAGTAAACACCATTGCAACTTCATTCGAGCTTTTGCGGTCTTTCTCATGTATCTCGTCCTCATCATGATCATTTCCTTGATCTTTTTCTTAATTGTATCCACCAAATGAATCTCATCTTTGGAAATAACATGAGACCATGCTGAGATCTGTCTTACTCGAATAGCATAAAAGATACCATCTTCCCCATGCACTTGCTAGCTTCTTGAAATTATTATTGGACCAAGAACAAAGAGGTAACCCCTCAATTTCAATTACTATAAATGTTTTATCAAAAGCTCGAAACTCTTTAAAGATTGTTCTCAATTATTGTTGTTATTTGAAATTTGCTATTCTTAACTTCAACCCTGACCAATTAGAATCCAAAAGCGCCTCAAAACAAATTATGACCAAACTACAACTTCCAAGACTTGGTCTACATACACACATGTTGTATACATCACATTACGTGTCTCCTTGGTCCATTAGACTCATGTGACATTTGAACATGGTATAACATCTACTAGATGAATCAATCATCGAGGTATTTGGCTTGGATACGATTGAAAATCTAGGTAGATGCTTTGGTTTTAAACGATTAATTATAACTAGGGAGCTCTTCATCATAGCAGCTAAAACTGTCATATTATGTACTAGTTGTGAGACTCATGTATTACATTGGTTAATTTAAAAAAAAAAAAGTTAAATGTAAAGGTCAAAATATTTAAGAACTTTGAATTTATAAGAAAAATGATGAATTATTTTAATAGAAATGTTTTTTATTTTTTAAATTTAAATAATGAAAAGAAACTGATGAGCTTTAATTTTTATAAATTTGAAATTAAAACGTAAGTTTATTAAAGAAATTAATATCTATTTATTTGCTACATTTATTGTAATTATTATATTAAAATATTATGTGAATTTAATAAAATATAAAACTTATAAAATTACATGTTGAAAAAAAAATATATAATTCAAAATAATCACAAAATAACATTTAACAAATTGAATTAGAGTGTGACAAGTAGCAAAAAAAAAATATTTATTAGAAAGGAAATTTTATAGCCAATTATGGATTGTTTTACTGTTATAAGGATGCATTTTATTAGAAATATAATGTTATGCTTCTTTTGGATGAGACAATATGTATAAGAATATATGATGTAACCGTATCCCTTCTATACATTCGAAGGATATATAAATATATGAAATTATGAATATGTTATCACCAATTTTTTTAGAAAAATAATATACGAAAGGATAATTTATCTTATCAACTCACCGATTATATATGACAAAGTATAAGATGCGTATGAAACACGAAGTCAAGAATAATGAACTTATTTAATGCGCCTGCTTTTTTGTAATAACTAAACTTGCATAGATTCAAATTCACGTGGAAATAACAAAATTACACTTGATACCAATCTACATGACTTAAAATCATTATTGTTGTGAAAGGAACACCCATGTGAACTAGTGCTAAAATCGTAACTAGTTATTGTACCCTGCAATTCCCCATTTATTAATTGGAAATCACCCATATTTGCTCCTATTAATTACTAACTAACTAGGTGAGTTATTAGAATTTTTTTTCTTATCTATGACAAACGACGATAAAACTAGCCGTTGCTAGATCAAGCCAACATCGTGAGGGGAGGAGGGGTTCACTACGAAGCATATTGCATGAGGTTGTCTATTGCAATCCTTCTCATATCTGTAATTTGATCTTATGGGACTTCTTGGCTCTTCTTGAGCTTCTTTACATGAATAGGGTTTCACTTAAAACTCATTGCAGTGTATGGTGGATACATGTCGGTGAGCATTTGTTGATCGACTAAGAGGTACTCAACGACGTATGGGGAAGTAGTTTAGTGGAAATCGAGAAGGATCAAGTAATATTGTGGCTTAATTGAGTTATAATGGGATAAGTCATAAGTGGATATGTATAATATGGAACGATGGTATGAGAAGGTTTAAATTACAGCCTAATATGTTCCCATAACGAACAAGAATGAGAAAATGCATATTTTCCCTTGATTTCATGAACTAGAAGTACAGGAAAAAAAATGAACGTAGATAATGTGGTTAGCAACAATAGAGGATGGTGTGAGAGGATAAAGTTCTCTACAACTATTACATCTTATGATAGTTTTCCACGTATATAGATTCTTCATGAAAAATCCAAATGGATCGAATTGTATAAAAACTTTATCGGCTCAAGTAATTTACGAACACATATTAGATTTTTATTTATCATTTAGGTGTATGAAAATGGTGTTAGTTTGAATGGATAATGATTGTTTTGATATTATCCAATTAAATAAATCCAAATTGATTTTATTTTTCAAAATATGAATTATAATTGTTCAAACTAAATTCAAATTTGATCAAATCCAATTTCAATTCGGTTGGATCAATTTTTATAATTCGGTTTTCAAAAGGTATAACATTTTAAACGATATATACTTATGGTATTATCCAATTATTTACAGAAGAAACAAAAACAA